AACCAACCAACCAACCAACCAACCAACCAACCAACCAACCAACCAACCAACCAACCAACCAACCAACCAAGCAACCAACCAAGCAACCAACCAAGCAACCAACTAATTTGCCAACTAATCTACTAAGCGACCAACCATCTACCCAAACAACCACCCATACAATCAACCGACCAAGTACCAAACAACCAACAACCAACTAATACTCCACTGTACATACTCCATTTCACTGCACTCCACTGTGCTTCTCTCCACTTCCCTTCGCTCCACTCCACTCCACTTCATTCTATTTCCATGCCGCCATTTTTCCACGCCGCTCTACTCCACTCGACTTCTGTCCACTCCACTTCGCTCTACTTCACTCCACTTTGCTCAACTCCACTCTACTCCACTGTACTCCACTCCACTCCGCTCCACTTTGTTCAACTCCACTCCACTCCGCCCCACTCTACTCCACCTCTCCACTTCACTTCCCTCCACTCCACGCCAGTCCACTTCGCTTCGCTTCACTCCACTCTACTTTTATCTACTTCCCTTCGCTCCACTCCAATCTACTCCGGCCACTTCTCTCCACTTCCCTTCGCTCCACTGCACTCCGACTCCAATCCACTACACTTTACTTCACATCTGTTCACTCCACTCCACGTCGCTCACTCCACTCGACTTCTGTCCACTCCACTTCGCTCTACTCCACTTCGCTCTACTCCACTTCGCTCTACTCCACTCCACTTCGTTCTACTCTACTTTACTCTACTCCACTTCACTCCATTTCACTTCGCTCTCCACTCCTCTCCACTCAACTTCCCTCCACTCTACTCCACTTCACTCCATTTCACTTTGCTTCACTCCACTCCACTCCACTCCACTTCGTTCCAATCCACTCCATTTCATCTTCGTTCCAGTCAGTGTACGAGCGCGACATGCGCGCGAGCGGCGAAGCGAATTAGTTATTTGAGTTTGGCGGGAAAACGCCGTTGCCAGCCTAGTCCCTCACGGCCAATGTAGCCCCCCTCAGCGTATGTTGAAGCGCCTCTTGAAGCTCATTGTGATGCCTTCCACAGCCAGACACATGACTCCTGCAGCCCAGCTGTAAAAATGGGTACCAGCGAAATTAATGCTAGGGGTGGAACCCCATGATGGACTAACGTCCTATCCAGGAGAAAGACAACTGCAATAGAAAATGGAAGTGAAGCTGCTTGGCCCGACATAGACTTAACGTAATTACTGTCTTTACAGACAGGTAACTGGAAATAGGTTTTGGATTTTAATCCATAAAAAAATTTCATAAATTATACATTAAAGCGTATTATAGATTTTTTAAATTACGCTTATATAAAAATTGATTTTGATTCAGTTTATGTGCTTTTTTTCTTTTTTTTTTTTAAAAAAAATCAAATAGAAACACTGCCCGTTCACAGATTGATCGTGTGTCCCCAAAGCGACGACATAAAGTTTACAGGATACAACCCTTTCCCATTATATAAACCGCACAAAAAAAGCGGCTGATATTGAGCTTTTAGCTCATCAAGTTCATCCAATAACAGCAGCCAGAACAAGTGATTTGTTTAAATTTGGAGATCTTCTGTCGTGGTCAGCTGGTCAAGTGGTGTTTGTTTACATTATAAGCTGCCTTGTCTGTGGCAGGGTGCTGCGTTGAAGGGTTAACTCACGCAAGATGGCTTCCTCCCGCTCAGGAATGAAGCCGTTTGTCACCAAGTTTCATGGCAAAACTCAGCTAACATCGACTGAGTTTATGGAAGTGTTTAGGAAATACGACAAAGATGGTAAGCTACGCTTAAATTCTGTAGAATATTTTTTTGCGTTAACCGTGCGACAGCTGCGATGAAAATATAGCTAAATACAGGATCTGTTTAGCAGATCTAGTCTGAAAAAAAGTTTTCACTTCGCGTTGAATTCGTTTAGAGGTTGTTGATATTTTTCGCCACATCGTGTTCAATTCAGGTAACCGCGCAACATAGAAAACTATTTGGCAAACTCCGTTCGACATGCAAGTGTCTTGGGGTATAAATGCAGCTTTATCAGGAATATACCTCCCATATTCTTTCACCTTCTCACGGATATTTTAAATAATTCTCCCTTTTTTTCCGATTGCTAAAAGAGTTAAGTATCGATTCGTAATATTACAATGTGCCGATGTACTTACAAAGGCATACATTGTGTAGTATAGAAACCTTATTTCAATTCGCGATCATTGACTCTCTTCACCGTTCGAAATTTGCATATGTCACTGCTGTCGTAAAGACGGGTGGATTTTCGAAATTTGTTTTGGCTTTTGTTTTTGGCGATTTTGAATAAAAGAGAAAAACATCGATTTTTTTGTGAAACGAAGTGATCCCAGAAATCCTGCAAGCAATATTTAGTTATTTAAAAGCGAGGTTAAAAGGCAATTTATTGTTAAATATACCTCAATTCATGTATGAAATAATACAGATCGGTTTTCCACAACGGTTCATTTTGTGGCGAGGTTGATTTCGTTGAAAGAAGCTTCTCAAAAACATTCTCGACAAGGTTTACTCTTGATTTACAATCACAGGTAATGGTTATATTGAAGCCAGAGAGCTGGATCCTTTTCTACAAGAACTGTTCGAAGCAAGATATCATGTAAGTATTTATTATTTTCTTTATCGCGGACAGGCGTGTGGCTTTGAATATTCTCACCAAAAATGCCGTAATTATGGCTCAAACATATCCGTAACGAAGCTTGTCATCCGCGGAAAGCTCACCATTTAAAATGATAATAACACGAGTTGCGAATAAATTATTTATCTGAAGGCCATTGACAAATCGAGAGAAATTATTCATTGGTGGTTAATGATTCAAATAATTATTTTTTCGTGTGGCACGGAAAGGAATACTTTCAAAGGATGATATTACTGTGGACTGGAAATGCCTTGAATTTTTTTCAAGGCGGGATAAATTCATACATGTACAGAATACACGTTCATAATTTAAAATACAAATATTAGATTGTTTCACTGGAGGGATGCAGAATGGAAAATTCTCCTTTAATGTATTTATAACCAATAGTGTTTATTCTGATAACGTATAGATAAAGCAAAGGCAGGAGTTTCGGCGGCCTGCTGGAAGATGAAAATAAAAAGAGACCATTTTAAAATTCTAATGCTCGTGAAATTGAATCTATTGTTGTCTTTTGTAAAATATAAAGTAGTAAATATAGTGTGCCAGTTAACAATCAGACCACCTGTTTGTTAAACGGGCGGTCACTGACACCGATTTACCGAAAATCAAACACAAAGAACGCGAGTGAAATATTTTGAATTGTAAACAATATTTAAAAGTGTTATCGAAGCCCAGCAGCAGTGGCCACCGGTGAATATGTTACGTTTACGGAGAAGGGGTGGTACCCGGGTGAATGGGCAGCGGGGGTACGGGGAGTCGGAGACGAAAAGACGGGAAAGGGATTGCGGGGACCCGAGAAATGTAGCGCGACGTTCTTTGGGCTCGTCACGAAATCATCCTCGCGGAGGGGCAGGAAGATTGCGCCTGCGTAGGGGAAAAAAAGAAAATTCGCAACATTTTACACTAATTTGCTATAAGAGACAGAACAAACACACGATACGAAGGTAGTGGTCACGACCAGCGATCGGGCGTTTTGGTTTAGTTTAGTTTAGTTTTTATTTGTTTGTTTGTTTGTTTTATTTTATTTTATTTATTTATTTATTTTTTTTTT